TCCGCTACAACGAAACTCGCAGGGATCGCGAAAAATTTTGTGACAGCGTGAATTTCGTCATTGTGGAAAAAGTGGCTAATAAAGAGAAAAATAGATGCACGACACCTAAGGGAGCAGTTTATTTCCAAAACACAGAAAAATCACCGTATTTACTTGGGGTAATGAACCCACCTTTTTTTTTTCATAAAAGTTGGCGCCAAGGGGGGGGGGGGTAGTCTCATTACACGGGAGAAAAAAAAGTCACGGGAGTTATGACAGAGAAAATTTTGCATGACGATTTTGCTAGTTTTGGCCCACAAAATGCTCGACGAATCATTTTTGTAGCCCGAATTGTTTTCTCCCATAACAAACAAGCACAGATCGACGCTGAAGGCTCGTCCAGCCGCTCGATTCCTATGCTTCACAGCTCATGCTCAACCGACCTTAATTTTAAAACCAGCTGTGTAGCTAGCATACCGGCCAAATGCGCCCTGCACAGCAAGTGTCCCCAACTAAGTTCACTACAACAAACCCAACAGCAGAAACGCAGCGTCGGATGGCGGCATACAAATGTTGCGAGTGACGTGCCGCGTTGCGGTGGGTGTTTTGCATGGCCTTCGATATGGCGAGCGCGTGGCGTGTTTCTACGCTGCCGCCTTGCGCCCTCGATATCGGGCGGACATGCGTTTTTTTTTCTAGTGCGTTCTTGTGCCGCTGTGCTTGGGTGGCGCTATGAGCAAAGAGATTTCTCCTGCGTTTGACTAAATGGCGCTCTGCCACAAAAAACGGCAACTATTGAGTTTTGATTGATGTTCGTCTGCATTCACACTGCTTGCAACTGTTTAGCATTATTGTGAAACTGTATTTTGCCTTTTATTGTGTTGCTATTTTGCTATAGAATGGCTTGATTTAACATTTTTTCGATCATCAACGGCACTGGCTATCACACTGAAATAAAGTTAACAGATACATTAAACATTTTTTTTTCTTTTTTTATGAACCATGGTGGAGGGTGAGTTCATTATCTGAGCAAATACGATATTTTCAACTGCTTTTGCTCTCGCATGCAGCAATGGCAGATTGCGCTGCTCACATTCTGTGATGAGCTGCATGGTGACATCGTCATCCTGGACGCCAAGGAAATAACGCAGGATGTCCAAGGAATCCATGACCTGCGACACGAGTACAATGCCGACATCTTCAAGAGCCGCCCATGCTGCGATAGTTTCCGTGTCTTGTCCCGGTCCAACGTCATCAGCAGCTCGTATGTCGTAGCTTGTGCAGGCCAAGTTTATCTCTTCAGGTCGGAAACCTTGCGTCCGCAAAACAGTTCTTGACAATGTCACGCCATGTTGACATCCATGTGGTGGCCAATATTTCCTCAGCCATGAACAAGTTGACTTTGGTGTCACGGCCATGCTCTGTGCTCAACAGAATTCACGAAAGAAGCATTGATTGGTATGCGTGCTTTAAGCTCCTGATGACCCTTTGATCTAAAGGCTGAATCATTGACGCACAGTTTAGTGCAAAAAACTTCACCGCAACGTTTGTCAGCGTTACGTTGCTGTCCAGGCGATGTGCTGAGCAATTATCCAGCACCAAGCAAACACTGCAGTCTTGCTCTTTCTTATGTCGTTGTCGAACACAGTGATCCAGTCGGTGAAAATAGTCCTCGTCATTCGGCTGTTGGCAACGTACTTCAATGACACGTTTTTCGTGCCCTTGAAGCACCGCGATTTGACTCTCATGCGAATCACAAGAAGGGGCGGTTTGTCGGAACTGCCCATATTTGCACAGAGCAGCACGGTGACTCACTTTTTGCTCTGCTTGCCTCCGTGGCACTGTTTGCCTTTGAAGTGAAGCGTCTTTGTTGGTAACGTTTCATAGAAGAACCTGGTCTCGTCCGCATTGTACACGTCGGACGCATTGTACTTCTAGACAACGTTAGCAGCGTTCGACGCGAGCAACGATGATGCACCGTCGCAGTCTGCAGTAGCGGACTCTGCACAGAGCACCCTCCAGACGATCTCCTGGCATTCCTTTAATCGGTTGAGCCACCCGGTACTTGCCTTGAAGTTTTCGTTCATGCCTAAAATGCTGGCTTAGTTCAGTGCTTTGTGCTGAATTAAGCTAGTGCTGATTGGCATCTTTTTAGCCCTCGTTTCGCAAAACCAGGCATACATTGCCTTGTCAAGTTCTTCATGGGCTGGCTGGGTCATCGCCTTCCGTTGAGCAGATATGTCCGACGCTAGCGCAATGAAGATGTTCACCTCGTACCTCAGTATTGTTGACATCGACCTCGGTGTGAGACTGTATTTCTCGGTGATACATTTCTTTTTTTGTCCTGCTGCTGCCGCAACAATTATTTCCGCCTTCTTCGCTAGCGAAAGAAACTTCCATTTTTTATTCTGTGGTGCTGCCGTAAGCTCTCGCTACCGTAGACTGATAAAAAAAAAAAAAGAGGCAGGTCGGAGCTAACAAGGTGCTGTACTAAAGATCTACTTAGTTAACGAGGCGTGCACTAACCAGGACTAACACTGCTAATGCAAACAGAACATGTGAAAAAGATAAAAAGAATACGAGCCAGCAGTCAATGTCCGACCTGTGGATTCAGCTCGGCTTCAACTGGCCAAGCTCGTAGACTTTCATGGCAAAACTCTATGCATCGACGGAATGCTGTAAAGCATCGTGGTCAACCAGAAACGATGACATCACTCATGGTGTCGTGGTTTGCAGCATTTGGTGGGTTACGTGGACTTGGGTCGACATTGGTATGCTTACAATCATTTTAGCTGTCCGATAACCAAGAATACCTTATATGGACTCTAAATAGGAACCAGGTAATAAGAATTTCCCATTAGAGACAGCTCGAGAAAAAAAAAGAATAATTGCAAAGACCGCCGCTGTCATGTGTACTTTTTTTTTTTCGTGACATTTTTACAGTTTAAAAGTGTTGTCACTCCAATTTACTAGTGATTTTATTAGTGAATTTACTAGCGTGGTTCGATTTGTGGCTGTTCGAGTAACTCATGTTCCGGGAAAATTTAGTTGAACAGGGAGAACAAGATAAAAGTGGTTCGTAAACTGTGGAGGCAGTTTTAATACATTAGAGCCTATGGAATGCGGGCGGTAAATTGAAAAACATTCGTTGAAGTGGAGTTTTACTAATTTACTTCTTATTTTTCTCGTTACTGTGCCTATTCAAATCTATCACTGGTGATCGATGCTTTGAATTGTCGATTTTGGCATTTTAATTTGTTTATAGTGAACCCAGCACTTTCTAGTAGTTAGACGCCCCTTTCAAATCGAGCCAGCCCCCCCCCCCCCCCCAAAAAAAAAGTAAACACATTTCTGCCTACTCCCCTGGCGACGGCAGAAACCACTAGAGAATGAATGACCTTATAACTGCTATCACAATAAAAACAAAATGGCTCTCGCCTTTGGGTTGTCTTAGGTGAATGCATGAGGCACTCCTTGAAGTTTATTTTTGTTCTTTTTGCACTGCTTTCTAGAGGACACTATAGGGAGTTTTTGGAGTATAGCTAGAACGCCCAGCCACATAAAACACCGCTGAAGAAGGAAAATGAAGTTTGTTAAATCGTGTAGTTTTAGCACAAAGAGATGAGTGCAAGAGGAAGTTGGCTTTATGAGACTAGCTAAATGGCGTCATGTTACGCCAGAAATATAATCAATTCTGAAGAAACCCCCCCCCCCTCCATATTTTTTCCTTCTTGAATTCATCTTAGAGAAATGCAGTTGGGACTGTGTGAGTCTCTAGCCTTGCATGTCACTGCGTTTGTCTACCATATCTGCTGATAATCACATAGATGTATTTAGAATATTAGTTCATGAACTACTATTTTATTCAACGAGTATTCTGTTTATTTGCGACGAAAACAATCACTGAATAATTTTTCCAGAATGCTCAACAGCATGACGATATTATTTTTGCATCATCAACTGAAATAGGGAGTGCTTCTTAGATGTCTGGCTTCATGAGGTTTGCAGTGAAATTAAATATTTCTAGCTCCTCACAAGAACCCCAAAAGAATTATTCATGTCCTTGAATGTGAATGCATCTTGCTTCTTCTTCATGATGTGCAGTTAGCTGCTCCGTATTGCTCCAAAATGAAAAATATTGCTGCTTCAAAGTGCTCAAAAATTGAAAAGTTTGCTGCTCCTAAGTGCTCCAAAATACAGATTTTGCTGCTCCACAGTGCTTCAAAATGTAAATTTTTCTGCTCTAAAAATTGCTCCAAATCACCAGACCTTGATAGCATCACTCAACAACAAGCGAAGTTACAGTGGTGGGTAGGCCATGTACTTTCAGTCCTTGCACTCCTGTCAAGCTTGACAGGAGTCCTGTCAAGCTTGCTCTAAGATAAGCATAGAGAGATGACACGAGGAAGAAACAGAAACTTGCGTCTGAAGCAGCAATCAAATGATGCGGCTCATTTCCGACGCTTGACGGGCGTGTGAGATAACATCCCCCCCTCCGCCCTGTGTTTTCTCACCAAGTCTGAGGGGTGGTCCTCGACTTGATAAAATAAATGGGTCCTTATGTCCAGCACCTGTATTGTGTCTTTATGTCCTCGTTCTTCTGCACTGTGTAAACATGACCCCTTTTCAGACATAAATGTTTGATTATACATAGCCTGCTGGAAATGAATGGCAGCATCAAGGAGTAATTCGTGAGCTTGTTCTGTGTGCTAGATGTTGCTGTTACTTAAATTTTTTTTGTGACGATGTAGAAGTGATGTTGCTTGCCAGCTGCACGAACTTTGGCTCTCACCAGTTGTACACGCAGTTTGAGTTGTCTTTTGCATTCAGCCATTATAATAAGGCCAACACAACTGCTCGAGTTCTTACATAAGCTACCACTGATTTGACTAAGTGTAATTTCATAGTATGGTAAATTAGATGGATTTAATGGTCAGTAGTTCCCTTGGTTTACCAGGTCTGGAGACCTTTGTCAGTTATTCATATAAATTGATCTTTGCCGATTTTGTATTTCTTGATAGGTGGTGCTTCGGGCATCAACGGAGAATGAGATGCTCTCGTTGGCGAGCCAAGCACGTGCCAAGGGTCTCATCACAAGCCTGGTACGGGATGCTGGTCGCACACAACTGGCACCTGGCACTCGCACCGTGCTCGGGGTAGGACCAGCGCCCGAGCAGCTAGTTGACTCCGTGACCGGACATCTTAAGCTCTATTGACATTCCGCTCTCTTCTGAGGCTCGTGTGCTCATGCTCAAGGACAGTTCTGAAATGTGTGGAGCTTTTTTGTCGTCCAGCAGCCTTGGAAGTCCATCCTGATGCTTGTGCCCCCCACAATACTTGCCCTGAGTGTAGTTTTGTGCTCGTGCAATTGACATACAGAGACACACACACACACTTCGCGTTGCAAGCCGTGGTCAATTTGCAACTTTCACTTGAATTGATGGAAGCGGGGCAGCTTCAGCTCAAGGGACGGTCATGCACCAACCAGAAGAAATGGGGCATTGCCCCATGTGTTCAACCAAAGACACACTGATGTGGTGGTAATGGTGGAGTGCACAGACTTCCTTGATGTGGCACACAGTGCAACCATTAATTATGTTCACTTGCTCTCAAGGCTTCCACCCAAAATTTTCTCAGATGTTAGATCAAAGATGAAGTTTCAAGATGGAAAGGCTGTGCTACCAAAACTTAGGCATCTTGGGTTTGTGTCATCATTTCACAGGGGCTGAGAGAAAAGGCTAGAAATACCATATCCTTGTTCATTTCATAGGTTCTTTTCTTGCTTTGTGGAATGAACTAATATACAAGGAAATATACACTGAATCAATGTTTTCAAAAAAAAAAAAAAGCCACTAATAACACACATGCAGTGTTCCCACCTAAGGTTAGGCCATATAAATGTCATCCTCTTTCAAATCTTCTTCGTAATAAAGAAGTACAGAGTACTTGTGGGTATAAGTTCAGTTTCCACTCCTTACAAAAACAGTGAATTCAGCAAGGTGGTTGCAGTTCTTGTTTGGGGCCTGGGCCTAGCCAAAATACTATTTTTTGAGGCGTTTGTCTATACCACCGTGTATTTCAGGGGTGGAACAGCTGCATCATTTTCGCCATTGTGTGCCAAACTTGTTTTCCTGCGCCAAATCACCCCTGGTGCACCGTAGCAGCAGAATTTAGCCGTAAGATGTCCAAGTCATCAGGCGTCGTGCTGGAAAGCATAATTAAATGTCGTCTTTGTGGTTTTATCGAAACGATTATAGTTTCGGTTTCATAAAGGCTGTGATCGCTTCAGCAGCAGCACTGAACACTGATTCTAAGGGCACGGTCGCGATGTGGCAGGCATCAGTGCGAATGGCTCATGAAGCCATCTGCATGCTCTACGTGCTACGCTCTCAATGGGAAGAGACTGCAAGAAGAGTATCTCTCCTGGTGCGGCTGTTCTTTCTTACACCAGTGTTTTGTAGAGTTACGTGATATCGGATCTGAAAGAGTGCCAATAATACAATATGTTGCTATCCCATTTATTGCTTCGCTTTTTTGGTGAAACTGTTTTCTTTACTTTAATGGCAGTAGCATTGCTTAAAAGAAGTGGGGATAGTGTCGAGTTCCCTGAACAGCCTAGCCAAGACAGGTGCACATGACTGCTAAAGAGTGCATGCGTGTATTCTCGTTCATTTGACCGCTGTGCTTCGCACTTATTGACTGTGCGGTTGACACTTGCGCGTTAAGGTTAAAAAAAAATGGGCTGCTATACACAACTAAAAAAGTCACACGGGCACCATAAAGGCGAAGAAATGAATGCAATAGCAGCAAATTGTAATATACAAAGCAAGGCTGGCAGCTAATTGTTTTCTATCCCATCTCATGCAACTGTAAAAAACGCTAGCGTACAAAAACGGTGGTGTACAAGAAAAGGCCACCTCAAGGAGATGAAAAATTTTCGTGAAGCGCTGGTTAGACTCGCTCACCACAGCTGAGGTCGGCAAACTGCTGCGAAAACTTGTGTTATGTTCAAGAAAGCCTCATCATTGACGTGTCCGACGGCTTCGTTAATGAAGCGGCGGGTCAACTCAAGCACGTGCAGTTGGATGAAATGGGCCTCCCCAAACGTCTTTGACTCCACTTTCACCCTCAAGCAACAGGCAACATTGCTCGCATCAAGTCCAAGACTACTCGAGAAGTCACTGGCCCTGTTGTGCCTGTCGATTCCGTGACCATCGAACTCGCACCTCCACTATCACTTTGGACAAAGAAACAGGTGTTTCTTGCCATCGCAAGCAATTCCTTGTAATGAAAGAGAGTGCTGTAACCATACACAAATCCCAGGGGGAAACATACAGCCAGTTGGTGTGCGAACACCACAAACGCCACTTTTCAGAAGCTCGTTTACGTTGCTTTGAAGCGGGGCCACCACACTGGACGGAGTGTTCTTAACAAACGCAGGACAGGACTTTACCTTTTACCATGGTAGAGAGAATCCGGATCGGGCATTGTCGGACAAATTTCGTCGGTTAGAAAGTCATCAAATTAGTACAATCACCGCCAAATGCTTCGCCATCCTCCAGTCACCGCACAGATTAGCAATTTGCAACGTCAAAGTATGCTTGTTGCTCGCTCACGCTGTCGATGTCACCTACAGCCACGTTATCCATGAGGTACCTTTGCTATGCTTCACAGAGATGTGGATAGACACTGTTGTCAAATTGCCAGGATACAAGTGCGTCAGCCTTGCAATACATTAACGCCGTCGAGCTGCTACAGGGGTAGTTTACGAACGCCTGGACGAGATCACACTTTTACCACACAACACTCCCTATCTATTCAACTCGCTGCCGCATATGAGTTGGGGGGATGCGTGGGCTGTGAAAACATCGCAGGGCTTCGTCGTCGCAGTAGTCTACATCTCCCCAGGAACCTCGCGAAACGACGTCATTAACTTCTTGCATCACAACTTCTCTGCAATGTGCGAAGAGGAATGTGCCGGTGATCGTCACTGGGAACTTCCGGCGTTTCTTGATGCTGAACTTGGACTTCATCTCCTTTCCGACATCACCCAGTCAACTACATGCAACAACTGCTGTTTAGATCTTGTGTTTGGAAAGGGTATCGCGTCACGAGTGCAGTGCGTGCCATTGCCAACCTACTTCAGTGACCACAAGACGGTGATCACGGTCATCGAGTGAACTGCTTCATTTATATTCACCTGTGTTTCTATCAAATATTGTATTTCATTTGCTTTATGCACGTTATTAAACATGTCGTTTGTTTGCTCATGTGTTTCTTGCATTTCTATCAATCCAAGCATGCCCGGACAAGGGCCTCCCAATACTGGTGTGCCCTACACATTGAAAGCTGTCCCCAGAGGCGACACACAACGTGTCATCACTTGCTGCTCGTCGGAGGTGCTCCTGATCAACGCAGTCGTTCCGCACGCACCTTATTGTGGTCGTCCACAGTGGCCACGCTGAATAAACCTAGGTTACTTAGCAAGCGCATGTTTGCTACAATTAATACTGCTTCTGGAGCTGCTAGCCTCACTTCGTATAACACTACAATTTACTGCTATCACAATCAATGCTTTGCCCTTACGACGAAACTGTGACTTTTCTTTTTTTTTTCAAGACAGGCGGAGCACTTTCTCTGTGCTTTGTCTACAGGCCTCCTGGGGCGGATGGGGAGATGTTTTCGCACGCGCTCGTCGAGCGTCGGAAATGAGCCACATCGTTTGATTTCTGCTTCAGCCATGTTTGTCGCCTTCATTCGCACACTTTAACATGCAGATAGGACATACGATGCGCAGGCAACAACGAACACCCGTGTAGAGTGCCCATACTATCACAATAGTAAGCTGTTGCACAATTTGAAAAAATGCAGCATTCAACAAATGTTGCTCAAAAAATGCTTTGAACGGGGCTACATCTGCTCTTACTGTTCTTACTGCTGTAAACTTTGCTCGAAAAGGCCCTCCTGGCTGATCCAAGCCTGCTCTAAAACGTTTTTTTAGGTGCTGCAAGTCTGCTACAAAAAGCACTTTTGCCTGCTCCTAGGATTGCTCCCGAACAGATCTACCTTGTTTCACCCCTGGTATTTGTATATGTATACATGTGATGGCTGTATGAACATTTCAAGGAGATGAGGGCCTCATTTGTCCTTTATTTTCTGCCATCGAAACCACTCATCTTCAAGGGGGTTTTCTGCCAACCAGAGTTTGTTGGCATGAATTAGTCTACGCTGGTTGTTTCATTTATAAGTGGTTCTCTCTCATACGCACGTTTTTAAGCAGTTTGACAACTCCACATTTTTTCACTTTTATTTTCAAATTGCCTCGGCTCACCAGTTGGTTGATGGTCATAATTTTCAACACTTTCGGGGCTGCCCCATCAGGCCATGGGTCATAAACGTCCAATAGCTTTCAACATGCTTTCAAACTGATTTTGTTTTTGTGCACTGTAGAGTCACTAGTGCACCCTGACATGTAGCGCCATCAACGCTGTATTTCCAACACTACCTTTTCTTTCCTGGAGTAGTTTTTTTTTTTCTGTGAGGTGGCAGTGCGAAATTGCGGTTTATCTCGAGTGCGGTCGTGTCAGCTAATTGAGAGAATGGCTTGAAGTTCGCGACTCGGCGCGCTTAAGAAACGACGAGGATATCATGATTCCGAAGTTCAAACGGCTAATTTTGTGACAAAACGAGCGGCGAAAAGTCAGAAGACGACTTTGGAAGCTCCGATTTCAGTTCGGGCAGCAAGTTAGGGCGATCAGCTTGGAAGCTCAACAAGTGGACGAAGGTTAGTTTCGCGTTTCGTTCAGCTTGCTGTTGAGTAAGCTTGCGGGGTCACTACATGTGCCTATTGCATTACCTTTATTTGGCAGTGTTTCAACAACGTATCACAATGATGTCTTGCCACCATTGCAGAAGCGAATCATCTTTTTACCGCAACAGGCAGCTGACATTTACATGGGTGTGGCACTCGGGAAAGGACCAAAAAAACATGGGTGTGGACCATGGAAAGGACCATGGATTACATGGGTGTGGCACTCGGGAAAGGACCAAAAAAATTTCGTACAGCCTTTTTCTTTTTGGCCCTTTTTTTCAACATGCAAGTGATCTACTAAGCTTTGCGAGAACACAAATACGACTGGACGAAAATGCTCGAAAAAACAATGCATTCTCGCTCTCCAGATGAAATGATGAAGTTCATTGGCCTCATAGTCTACATGGACCTCGTCAAGGTTCCATGGCTAAAGCTTTACTGGAACGTTGGAGAACTCCACAGTGGCCTGCTTCCACGCCAAAAAATGTGTCGATGACGTGGGCTCCATGTTGCTGACTTGGACGATGTGAGCCAGCTATCTAGAAGAAAGCTCCAGTTTGTGTGGTAGCTTATGAAGCACGTGAATCGCGTGTCGGCGAAGCTTTTTTAACCGCAATGTGATCTCTCCGTGGATGAACGGATGGCGAAATCCAAAGGGCAATCGAGCCTTAGACAATATATGTAAGAGAAGGTGACAAAATTGGGCTGCCAGCTCTGGGTCCTAGCTGATACAAGCACCAGATACATGGTACGTTTCAGTATATATACAGGTGAGCGTGATCAGCCAGGACCTTATTGATTTCTGCTGTGTGTCATTACCTTGATCAGGGGTACTGAATAATCATGTACAACTTCTACACATCGGCACGTTATTCAGCCACCTGATGGACCGAAGAACGTTGGCTTGTGGTTTGACGAGAAAGGACCACCGTGGATTTCCTGGTGAACTAAAAGACGCACGATGAGAGAAAAAGCGCTACGAAGAGACGTAAGATGGCTCTGTGATCATGGTATATTACTACCTTTAATGAAAAGAATATCATGCTGTCAACATGATTAGCACCATCCACACAGCAAATGTCACTGTCACACCAAAAAGAAGGGGAAAAAGGGGGAATACTTGGGCTGATATTTCTGCACTGAAGCCATTGCTAATACATGAGTACAATGCTGAAATGCTATAGATTAGATAAATCGAACCAGATGATTGGCTATTACAGTGTCCTCATAAGGAGTGTTCGCTGGTTGAAGACACTCTTCTTCCACAGTATTGACATTGCTCGTGTTAACAGATATTATATCAAGCACACCACACGTCATACTCAGAGGTTCCGGAACTTGAAAGAAAAGCAGATAATGACCAGCTCACATTAAGAGAACTCATTCGTCAGATTTTTAGCCTCAATGGTGCCAAGCCAGCTCGGACTGCTCCACCACCTTCCACTAAACGAATTCTCCACCAGCCAGAAAAGGCAGAAAGGTGCAGAAGCTGCAAGCTGTGCTATTACTACAGGGAAGTTGAACTGAAAACTAATTGTTTCTGCAGGACATGTGATGTGTATTTGTGGTTCACTACTATGAATTATTTCCTGCAGTGGCATGGGAGCCATCGGCTGTGATTTGCTGACGAGTGCACCGATACTGAAGTGGAATAAAAATAGGAAGTTATAGATGGGCAGCCCAAGCCTGTACATTAAAGGAACGAAGGCATTTAACCACATTTTGTATATTTTTCTTTACATTTTAACCTGTATATGCATGCTTTTAAAACTTTTTAGTATGGTTTTTGGTGAAACTTTCCTTTTGGTACTTTGTCTTGATTGTGCATATAAATTTTATGCATAATATCTATATTTACATTGATTCCACTCCTTCGCCAAATCAGATTCACTGCGCCATCCTGCACCAAAGTCGTATTTGGAAGTGCGTCTCTCCGGCAATAGCCACGCCTGTGCGTCAAAACATGTGCACCTTTTTCTCTGGGCCACTAAAGTCGCAATCATGTATCTAGAATTATATTCCGCTGAATAAACAGCTGTCGCACGTGCATCCTAATTAATCCACGATGCTATGTTTGGTGCCGACGAAACTTATTTTGTGCAAGTCCGCAACAAGAAAACGTGTTCTCTGCAGTGACTCCTGACGTCTAGTCCAACTGGTAGCTTGAACGGAGGCGGCGATTCATCTGCGGTCATCGTTTCAGGAACGCAGGTGATAGCTCGTTTGAAGAGTTGCGTGGCACGTAATTCAAGGGATTTTCACTAATAACTGCACTCATGCCGTCCGAATGTCTGTCACGTCTACTTCAGGACATCGTGATCTAATTTTCCGTACTTCGCGTCAACATAACACGTGAACGGTCGGAGTGCGTTGACACTTTTCCTTTATTCGTTAATCTTCATTCAGAAGTCCTTTTACGTAATTCCTTCCACCTGCACATCCGCATTTGAAATCGCTCTTGCGGTAAAAGCCCCTAAAAGACCCTGCATGCCCTTTCGAACTCAAGATTGCTATATAGGGTCCGAATTTTTTAAAATGTCATCTCATTAATAAAAGCACACCTCTCTGGTCGGACCAGCAGCAATTAGGTTTTAATAAGCGCAGCTTTCAGTAGTGGGGCCATCGCTGGCGGCTATTGTCGGAAGGCTCACTGTGAAATGGCCACGGCGTGTTACACGTACGCCCCTCGCTTTCCAAGGGGAGTAGCTGATGGTTAAAAAATAAAAAAAAGTCACAGCTTTGCCGCAAAGGCAAAGCATTTAACGCGATAGCAACAAATTGGAAGGTCACGCGCAGAATGGAAAGCAGATCGAAACGTGTCCCGCGTTTCTCACGCGCATATGACGCACGAAACATGCTCTCAGGTACAGATGCGCGCAAATAATCGTTTCAGTTGTTGCTTCACTATGTGAACGTGCGCTCGAACACGCAAGTAGCTGGTCGTGCTTGCTCTGGGGTTTTGGCCTAAGTTTGTGTAGTGGCTGTGGTTTCTTTGTCTTTATTAGGTGTTCCTATAGTGCTTTTACAGCTAAGTAAGCGCTTTTAGCGCTAGAAAGTTCACTTAGATGCAGTTTTCTTCACCTGGACCAGGGGCTTGCCCCTGGTCTGCTTCACTTCCGCCACAGGATATACCAGTGGATCAGTTTCTACGCAACGGCATTCCCGCAGTTCCTGTGGCCCTCGTCCCTAGCAACGACGGCTTCATTCGGATGAAGAATCCGAAAGTGATCCAGGCGGAGCTTAGAGCTGTGACGTCTCACTTTCACAGCATCACAGAGGTCCGTCAGTTCGGCAGAGGTGGTGTTCTATGTTTTTCATCTGATCAGCTCTGTATCCAAGACCTATTGAAGTGCTCGAGTTTCGCGACCAATCCGGTGAGCGCCTTTATTCCCCCGCATCTGGCATGTGTGAAAGGTATTGTTCGCGGTGTCGATGTTAACTTGACCCCGTCTGAGGTATTA